ATGTGGTGTATCAACCAAACAGAATTAGATGCAGAAATAACCGCAGGCATATTCAGCTACCTGATCTATTATCAAAGAGGCCAAAACATATGTAAGAGGAAAGATGGGCTTTTTAAAAAATGGTTTTTGGAAAACTGGATATCCCCATGCATAAGATTAAAGACAGACACATATCTCACACCTTTACAAAACTAAAATCAACAGGGGCTGGGGATTTAGCTCAACGGCATAAGCACCTGCCTTGCAAGCAGGTGGTCCTAAATTCGATCCCCAGTACCGATGAAAAGAAAAAAGAAAAAAAAGTGTAAAAAAACAAAATTAAAATCAAAATAGACACAAGACCTAAACGTTAAAACACAACCTACTGGAAAATAAAACAGGTAAAATTCTTGAAATTACAGGTATAGGAAAGGACTTTATAAACAGATCTCTAATTGCAAAGTAATAACAGCAAAAGTAAACAAATGAGATTACAACAAATTAAAAGGTCTCTGCAAAGCATAAGAAATAACCAACAGAGCAAAGAGACATCTTACAGAATAAGAAAAAATACTGCCAGCTATACCTTCGACAGAGAACTAGTATCTAGAATATATACATAACTAAAAAATGTAGACTTCTCTCCCCGCAAAAAACAAACAAATTAATTACAGGGCAACTAAAACCAACAAACACATTTTAGAAAAAATACAGGTAGTCAATAAATGCATGAAAAATTGTTCATGGCTATTGGAGAAATGCCATTTAAACACTTTTTATTTCAGAAAGAATAGTAGTCATTAACAAATAAAATAATAATAAATACTTGTGAGGCTGTGGTACGAAAGACAATGTAAACTAGTTCAACCACTGTGGAAACCAGTATGGAAATTTCTAAACAAACTAAAAATAGAAATTCCATTTGACCCAGTCTCCTCCTAGCGATCTTCTCAAAAGATTTAAAGACATCATATTACAGCAACACATACATACCAACATCTATAGCAGCACAATTCATAACAGATAAATCTTGGAAGCAGCCTATATGTCCATCAACAGATGAATGAATGTAGCATCTAAACAAAGCGGAATAGTACTTGCTTATACAGAATGATAAATTTGAAACACCTGTAGGAAAATGGAGTCACCTTGAAAACATAATTAAGCGAAATAAATCAGACACACAAATTTGAATACCATATCGTTTCTCTCATATGAAAAAAGCCAAAGTACAAATATAGAAAAGAGAAAAAAAAAAAAAAACAGATTGAGTAAAGGAAATGGGGAGATAGAACTTTTCAAATGGAAGAGGACCAAAAGTTGGGGTGGGCATAAAAGGATTTAAAATGTGTCACATACTTGTACTAATTACCCACAATGAATGTAATCATTATGTATCACAATGTAAATGGGGGAGGAAATCTAGAGATGGAGAGAGGGAGGAAAATGGAAGGAAAAGTAAAATAAAAAGAATTAAAATATGCTAAGTAAATATACTTACTACCTAAAATGAATGTAAATATTATGTACTGCAAATTGTACTAATTAAATATAAAACATAATAAAAGGAAATACTTCATTTATAATAATAATATTGGGAGAACTAATAACAATAAAATGACAAAGACAATTGAAACATATCTTGCTTTAGCATAGGAAGAATCAAGATTGAGAAGGTATCCATCTTCTGAAATTCATTAATAAATTTAATACAACTAATTAATATGTATGTTCTTTTGGAACTTGACAACAGTTTAACTTTTATTTATGGAAATATCAAAGAATCAATACAGAAAAGCAAGAAGAAAGGTCTGTCTCACTTGAAACAAATTATACTATGAAACTAAGATAATTTAACAACAAAATAGAAGAGAGCACAGAAAGACATACACACTTGCCAATATATAAATTTAACAAATGATAGAGGTACAATTTCAAATTGCTTAGAAAAGAGATGAATTATATAACAGTGTTAGATGACTGACCAATCACTTGGGGAAAAAAATGGATTCCTAACAGCTTACACCTAGTTATAGGGAAAAATAAAATAGAAAATTGCCAGAAGTAAAAATAGGTAATCTTTTTCTTAACTAATTTTACACAGAGAAAGCCTTTGTAAGCTGAAAATAAAATTTGAAACTGTAAGGAAAATACTGATTAGAGTGACAACAGATCTTTTTTTTTACTTTTTGATGCTAAAGACTAAACATAGGGTCTTGTGCTAGTTAGCTAGACAAGCACTCTACCACGAGCTAAAGTCTTAAGAATACAACTTTTATATTTATATGTGACCTTTAAGTACACACATGCTCTAAGTAAAGTCAAAGGGTAAATAATTAACTAGGAAGCAATACTTATAACACACATGACACAGGGCTAACTTCCTTAAATTACAAAAAACTCAAGTAAGCCAGCAGTAACAAAAAAACAAAAAATATGAACAAATTCTGTCCACAAAGAAACAGAAATGGTCAACAAACTCAGTGAAGTAAATTTAACTTCATGTATAATTACAGAAATGCCAACTAAATCAACAATGTTTGTCAGATTGTCAAAGGCTGAAATTACTGATAATACTCAAATCGATAATAGTTTGGAATAGTACCATAGGGAAATAGGTGCTCTATTTTTGGTAGGAAAAATAATTTGAAGCTTAATCTATCAGTAAGGCTCAGTAATTTTCTTTGCTATTGCAGTTCTTTAAATATTCTCATATAAATATATTCATAAATATATAAGGAAATGACAACTAAGATGGAATCTAGTCACGTAAATTGTTTTCTGATATTTTATTTTGTTTTCTTCTCAAAACACCACCATTAATCCTACCATCTGCACATCATTTACTATCTAGTCAAAAAATTTTGCTTTTCTCAATCTTCAACTTTCTCTCTCCACTGACTGCAGACATCACATTCAAATATCTCCCATCTCAAAAAATGAAACAAAAAGAAAAATGAAAAAAAGAAATATTTTTCCTCACCAAAAAGTTTCTTTTCTTGTTTTCTTAATGGTTAGAAAGTACACTATATATGATTTCCATTGTCTTATCTTATTTTAAAATTGACTTTTTCTTCATTATAAAATTCTCTTTATCTTTGGTGATATTCTATGTTAAATTCAATTATATTTGACAGTAAATAGACCCTTTATTCTTTTCATAGTTACTACCTACATGAAATATACTTTTTAATCTATTTAGTTTCAACCTCATTGTATCTTCAAATTTTCTTTAGAATCTTTTCAAGACAGTATATAACTGAGTTTTTGCATCACTCTTCTATGTCTTTTAATGATAATTAGTCCAGTAATATTTACTAAGATTACTGACACTGTTAGGGATACTATTTTATTTTTGTTTATATATTCTCTGTGATTTTTTTCAAATATTCTGCTTTTCCTCTTTTGGGTCAGAGAACACAAATATTTGTGAGATTCCCTTAAATTTATATATTGTCCTTTTAGCCATATATATATATATATATATATATATATATATGTATTAATTGTCCTAGGAATTAAAAAATAAACAAACTTGGTACCTATTCTACCTAGAGAGAATCCCTCTCTGTAGGATTCTCACCAGCAAGAAATGACAGAGGGTAAAGATAAAACCCATAGCATTCTTGGGCGCCCAGGCTTTAAAGACAAAACTTGTGATGTAAATTTGAAACCTTTTCCTTTGACTGGATAAAAATCCAAAGTGATGTTTCAGAAACTATTAAATAAAACTACAAGACCATTTAAGATATATAAGGATATTGTTTTTCAGTAATTCAGGAGAAACCCAAAGAAGAAAGCAAAGGATTTCTTTTCCTAATAGAATAAACCTCAGTAAGAATCCTATGAGGCTCACAAATTTTTTTGAAAACTAGTTCCCTAAACATAGTGAGTTTGAATTGAAATGGATAGGCAGTAAAAATTAAAAAGGAATGCTCAGGTATCCAAAGTTCTACAATACAAAATCTGGCTGAGAAAAGTAGTAGCTGCAAACAAGAGCTATCTTGTATTACAAAAAAAGATTCAAGAGAAAAGAAACTGAGAGTATAGAAGATGGAGCTAAGAGTCATGAAGAATCACTACCAAGCAAGACCAAAACTTCACTGTACTCAAGTGATTCCAGTATTTCTGTATCTGGATTTCAGAATTGCTATGAAGTAATAATACTAGTGTATTCCAGCTTTTTGAACAGATGTCTCTAATGATTAGCTTATCCCTATCTTACGATAGTATATTGGACATGTGAGGGGAAAACTACGGTCTTTGAAATCTTCAGATCAATAGGAAATACACTCAAGGAATTGCACAAGAAATGACAATCAAAGAGCTTCCTCTAGACCTGATTTAGATAAAGAGATACTGACCTTCTAAGCTTAAGATAATGCTATAATAGAATCTCTGAAGTTTGAAAACTATGATTTATTTTTGACTTTCTCTGTTTGTCTACATTAATCAATAATGAAGTCCTATTGGTTCTTTAACATTTTAATTCACTCCCTTCTTTCTTTGGCATTTGCTTTAATTCAGCATTTTATCACAGACTGCATGCAATACCCTGCAAACTAGTGTTCCTGAAATGAAATTTACCTCATTGTGTAACTATACTTCCCAGTTCATAATGATTGATGAGATTAAATGATTAAATGGTATTAAATAGCATTCATAACACCATTTCTAACTAATAATAAGCTTTCAACACACTGCACTGTAAATACCTGCTATGTGTTTGTTTCTGCCATTTTTTAGTTTCATATTCCCATGACCTAGAACAGTCCCTATTAGTAAAATTTATACTGAATGAATGACCAAATGCTTCTTACATGTACTACAAGGAATTTGTGATTGTTCACAGTAAAAAAATATACATTCACTAATCCATTAGGACAATTTAAAGTGAGAGAGACATTTAATCATGTAATAACCCAATCTGTTAAAAAAGTTAAAATTATGGAAAATTCATTCATTCAAAATAAATTGTTTTTAATTCCATTTAAATAAGGTAATATACTATGTAGTCATACCTTTTTTCAAAATTTTTGCCTGGTTTTCTAAGTCAAATATTTCAATCTTGACATTTTCTTTCATCAAAATCTCTCTTTTCTTTGTTATTTCAAACTCATTATTAAAGTATGCAATTTCCTTAATAAAGTTTTCTTCCTCTTCTATCATTTTTTTCTTTGTACTCTCCTTAAAAAATCATAGATCAAATATAGGTGTTATTTGTAGCTTTAATGATTTAAAATACAACCATCTGGAATTATTAATAACAAAAGTATAAAATTATACTTCCTGATATTACAAAAATGGTTCCCTTTTCAGCAATACTATTTAAAAAAACTGAAGCTAAAATGACAATAAACTATCTTCAGATGAAATACATATTATTAAAGTTTTGGAATAATTATGATGGAAATTCTACCAGTCTTGAAAATTAAAAACTATATTCAAAAGAATACAGTTAGGCAAGGAAAAATAGAAAAATTAACAAAGAAGGATATCCAGAGAAATATTTTAAAATATAGGCTGATGAAGGTGCCATTATATATTCACTTAAAAATTCAGTTCTAAGCAAATGTTATGAAATATTAAAATGGTGTGAGAAATAACAATTTTAAAAACCTTGGACAACACAAAAACCTAAACTTTTGACAATACTATAACTTAAAAAGTCTATGTTTCCATAGGATGTCAACTATGAGTGACATGCAGAACCTTTCCATATCATTCAAAAACACCACATCTTTTGGCCTGGCTTCTGAACTATATTTGTGATATCTTTAAATGTGTTTTCTTTAAAATGTAACAAAATCACAAGTCTCATTTCTAAACTGGTACTATCATTCAGTTTGATCTTGACTTAAGATAAAAGGATAAAACAATATCTACATTTTTACCCAAACTAATAAATATGCCTAAAGTATGAACCTATTAAAGCATTAAAACTAAAGAATTAAAGCCCAAAGTTTTAAAATGTTGTATCCTTTATTGTAGGCTTATTAATTGCAAATAATTTCTATATTACAACTCTGTCAATAGTATTCTTTCAAACTATATTTCTCTACCAATTAGTTTTAAATAGCACTTAATACTTTTACTTATCTGTATAGTACTATCTGTCAATATGCATGTGGATAATTTTCTAAATGTACATTAAGTATATGTAAATATTTTTTGATATTTTTATTAAAATGGATTTTTTTCTAAATGGCTAGACTTACAAAGTTTTGGAGCAACATATTCCTTTGGTGTGTAGCTTCACTGCATTGTCTTTCTAAGGCATTTTTATGAATTTTCAAAAGTTGTAACAGGAAAGATTTTTCAGAATATTGTTGAACCTTCAAAATAAAAAAATACAAAAATCAAAAACAATTAGACACTTTAGAGTATCTCAGTGAACAGATTTGCATAAAATAAGGCATTTCTGCATTAATCTTTAAAATATAAAATAAAGCTCCCATTAAATAACCTAGTATGTATGTACTATCTACATAATTACAATTTTAAGACCTCACTGTAATTAGATTGTCAGCTTCTTGAGGTAAAGAAATATGCTTTGCTTTTCCTCCTCATGCCTTGCATAGTTCTTGGCTTATGGTCCAAAACTTTTTGAATATATACACTGAAATCTGTTAAAAGTTTGCTTAAAAGAAGAGTTTTCTATCCTCACAACTTGTAATAGATAATTAGTTATACAAAATAGTGGAATGGGACAAATTTATAGTTAAGTGGTAGAATGCTTGCATACTCAAGGCTCTGAGTTTGATTTCCAGCAACACAACACAAAACAAATGATATAATGCAATAAAATATAAAAATTATAGGCAAAAACTTAGTCCCATAAATATATCATATAAAAAATAAATCTTTTAAATTTTTCAAATAGGTTTTAAACATTCATTTTTCATTATTTGTATTTTTGGTTTTTTTCAATTTTAGAGGGTGGTTCAAGATCATTTTTACTTCATAATTTGTAAAAGTCGGTTAATATGCTAGCTGGATGGTACAATCTGAAGACCATCGAATCTCTTCTAGACATTAACCCAACAAATTCCTTACAAGCAAGATCAGAGGCCAAGCAGGGTATGTCTCAATGTGGGGGTGTGGGGAATATGACCTCCTATTTGCTCATTCCCCTTAAGAACAAATTTTTTATTTTAATATTTCATTTAGAACTTCTAGACAGTAACCGATAAAACAAAGATAATCTTAGATATGTAAGTACACTATTTTACTTGGGCTTTAAAACATGGCACCTCCTGAGACATGAATATTGAAATAAAAGTCAGGAAGCTTTGGAATATAAGCCAAAAATAATGCTAAACCGAAGATAATTTTTCTACAGTTGTTAGTACTAGCCCTCATTATGAAGCATCACTTCCATTTTGGAGCTATTTTCATCTTTACAGAAAAACAAAGCATATAAATTAACTTAAATTGCAGAAACCAAGATTTAGGTTCTTATAATAACTTTCTCAAAGTGAGAGGCAGGTTGCAAAATTTCTGTCCCAGAAGATATTGAACAGTAAAGAGATTAGGAATAGTCTGGTCCAGAGGCAGAGATTGGCTTAAAATGAATTTTGCAATATAAAAAGTCCTAGAAATATTGGCACTTTAAAAAATTAGCTGAAATAAAATAGAAAATATGATCTTGTATTTGTATAAAATTATAGTATTGCCCATGTCCACACAACCTTGAAAGAACCTGATCTTGTCTGATCACAGTGCATTTGCACAAAGCTATATAGTAGCTGGTGCTACTCTTACCAACCCTACTTTAATAGAGACATTAACAGAGAAAGGTAAGTTGAAAGTATACGAGTTTATGAGATATTTTTTAGAATTATCAAATATTAGGTCCATCAGAGTTGATGAAAAGGCTATATGTAGGATACACTTCTTAGAATTGCTACTGTGAACAGCAACTATGTTGAAAACTGCTTCAGTGACCAACTATTGGGTTAGATAAACTTTGGTTCAATCTATCAAGGTATTTCAAATATGATGTTTTCAAAATCCAAATTCCTGAATTTTAAGACTTTTTCTGCCGCTGGTCTTTTACAAAAAGACCTGTGACAAGCCCCAAAATGGAGAAATAGCACTCACTGAATGAATAAATTCTTAAATATGACCTGAGAAAATTTATTATTCAAATTTGAAAAAGTTTTTTGTTAAGGACTCAGAAATTCAGCAGCTTTATTTCAGGTATCAACAACTAAGAGCTAAAGATATCCACTACACTATGTCCTCTTTCTTAGAAGGGCAACTAACAAATATTAAACAGAACTATACAACAGATACATTGGCACTTAATTGCAATATTTATCATAACTTGAAAAATGAAGCCCATACATCCAAACTTGAAAAATAGACAGCTATAATTTTCTATTTCACATATTAAAATATATAATTTTCTTCTGTAAAATTATTAGCTATCCATTTTGAAGTTTTTCTCTGCTTCTCTGGTTTTTATTATTAGTCTCTTCATTCTCACTTTGTCTTATTCTGCTTTTATTTTCACATTTTCCTCTTATCAAAACCCAAAAAGTCCCAGACAGCCAGTAAATATAGAAAGATTATAATGACATTAATTTTTAAATTTACTTAAAATCCATAATGAAAACAATACAAAAAAGTCTTGGAAACTAGGGGAAATAGTATTTTAGGGGTAGTGTCAGGAATTTAGGGAAAGTAAAATCAGGAAGGAGAAGCAAGCACCAACACCTCCAATATGAAGACATCAACAAGCTAAAGCTAGAATCTTCACATTTGAATGGAACTAAGAAATAAAAACATTTGGATCTGCCCACTTCCACTCTATCAAGTATAAGTTACTAACTCTTCAGGAATAAAATAACTTTTCATACTACCGATTTATAGAATATAATAGTTATTCCTTTTGTTCTTCTGATTATATCAAGTAATTTAAGTTGCTTTTCTATGTTTATGTGTTTGAAAAACAGAGTTACTGTTGGGTGAAATTTAAGTAAATGTTCAAAATACAAGCCTCAATATACTGATTGGGACAAAAAATGGCATTATTTCACAGAAAAAATAATCACCAGAAATCTTTTAACTCTCTTGTTACAAAAGGATTAGAATGAAGATATTGTAAGAGATTTAAAAATTTTACCATAAAAACTACTTCCAAATAAATTTCCCTGAGTCAGATTTGAATTGAGGCACTATCATATCCACGGCAGCTCGGACCATTTATTTTATGATAAGCAGAAACCACTGACTCTGTTCTAAGAGTATACAAACAATGCAAAGAAAAGGAGAGAGCATTCCTAATGGCAGGAACACATATTTCTTACATCTCTCTTTGTCTTCTGACTAGAAGTGAAAATATTTGTGTGCAGCCTTAAAGTTGCATTCTAAAATCAAAAGCCCAAGCTTTGTCACAAAACATTGTTTTGAAAAGTTTCATTTATAACAGGGTCAACTCCGTCATTAATTCTGCTTCTCTCAGCTATCAATAAATATTTTTTTCTTTTCTCTGCTTATTCCTCTTAGGATATTGGAGTTTTAAACAACTTACAGTTTTCCCAGTGAGCTGACTTATCTGGTCAACTAGGTCAGTTTTCAACACATCCATGATTTGTAACTCTTCACTATATTTAATGCCTGTATGACTTTAGTAATTTTTTACAAGAAAAACTTGAAAATTGAAAATGACTAAGGATTTTAAATTAATGTTTGGATCCAAGTAAGCAAAACACAGAGCTAGTCTTTATTTTATTTTCTATTGCTAAAAAAATAATCATGAAAGGAAAGATCTCTTATAAATAACAAGGAACCAGGAAATAACAACTTAACAGTTGCAAGATGATGTAAAGAGAAACAATATAAGCTTGACAGGTGTCAACAAGGAGACAACACATATGACATAAAAAGACTGCATGCAGAAGCAATAGTAGAAAATTTCCCAAAGTTGGGAAAAGAATCTGACATAAAGACAAGCAAGGCATACAAAACTAAATGAGTCATAACCAGAATAAATCTATACCTTGACCTATAATAAAGATCCAAGAAATTCAGCGTAAGAACACAACATTAAAAGCCACTAGAAAAAAAGAAAACAGATCATCTATAAATGCAAGCCTATCAGAATCACAGCAAACTTCCCACACGAATTATCAAGTCAAAAAGAACATGGAGTGAAGTATTTCAAGTCCTGAAAGAAAATACCCTCCAACACAGACTGATGTACTCTGCAAAATTATCTTTCAAAAATGGAGAAATAAGATACTTCCATGAAAAAGAACAACTGAAGAATTTCATGACCACCCAACCCTAACAAAGAGTACTGAAAGACATCATAGAAAGGCATATTAAAAATAACTACAATTCCAAGAACAACAACAGAAAGAAACCAACAAGCAAGACAAGCAATTAAACAGAGGGGAAAAGTAGGGAAACCAACAGCAGAAAGATAACATGACAAAGATGACAATACATATCAGTTATAATCATTATCATAAATGGCTTCAATTCACCAAAAGAAACAGACTGAAGAAGTGGATCAAGAAACAAAAACAACAATATGCTATATACAAGAAACACATTTAACTCAAAAGGAAATTCAGAGACTGAAACTCAAAGGCTGGAAAACAATACGCCATGCAACAGGAACCCAGAAAAAAGCAGGGGTAGCTATTCTGTTTGCAGACAATGTGAACTTCAAACCAAAAATGACCAAAGTGATAAAGCTCATCACTACATAATTGTTAGGGGAAAACTTTAAGAGCAGGAGATAACAATCACAAATATTTATGCACCAAATATGGGAGCACCAAACTGTATAAGATAAATATTAATAGATATAAAAATCAAATAAGCAATAATACAATTATAACAGGAGACGTTAACACCCCATTGCCACAGGCCAATCAACTAGACAAAAAAAAAAAAAAAACACAACTGAATCAAACTTGTGAACAAATGGAATTAGGAGACATGTTCTGTGTGTTCCACCCAACGACATCATAATACATATTCTTCGCAGTTGCACATGGGATGTTCTCTAAAACAGACCATATACTATCCCACAGAACGTGCTTAAGTAAATTCAAATGAATTGAAATTATCCCATATGTATTATCTGACCATAGTACAATGAAATTGGAAATTAGTATCAAAATAAGCCACAAAAGCTCCATTAACATACAGAAAATAAATAGCACCACACTGAACAACCAATGGGCCACAAAGAAAAAAAAGAACTTAAACAATATATACAACTGAATAAAAATGCAAATACAAATCACGAGAAACTATGGGACAAAATGAAAGCCGTCCTCAGAGAGAAATTTATAGTGATGAATTCTCACATCAG